GCTTACAGTCCGAGCTTGTACTCATTGGCAGCAGATATTTCAATCATGTCATATTTGTGCTACGATTCCACGTCCTGAGTGCCTGGCATTACTAACCATGTTCAAGTGCTCCTTCCATCCATCACAGACTTAGGCTGTCCGGCTTTCAACTTACATCGTGCTAACGAACGGAATCTATGCCTCCTCACAACCATTTACAACTCCTCCTGCCTGCGTATGATTCCAAATATATGGCGAAACATACAAAACAACTGACAATTCCAGATGAACGCCGCCCATGCCAACCTACTATGCATCTAATACTGTCCGCTCATCTCAAGTCTTTTGCTGGTCCCGGCTTTGATCTTGGCTTAACGATCGGCGGCTCGTCATCGTCCATTTGCTCCTCCTCTCGAGCGGCCCTTTTGACAGGGCGCGGCTTTGGTCTGGGCTTGATAGGTGGCGGCTCATCATCGTCCGTTTGCACCTCCTCTCGGGTCTTCTTGACGGGGCGCGGCTTTGGTCTTGGCTGGACAGGCGGCGGCTCGTCCTCGTCCGTTTGTTCCAGGGCGCCCAGATATCGTGATGGGCCCGCAGCCGGTGGTGGGCTAAGCGTGCGATGATGCACGGGTCTCGACGACCCCGATGCCCGCGATCGCGAGGTGGGTTCCATATTGCCGTTGCGCCCTCCCGATATCGTGCGCGACTGGGGTCTCGCCTTGACGGGCGGCATTTCATCCTCGCTCATGGGCTCCGGCGCGCCTTGAAATCGTCGTGGCCCTCCCGAGGTCGTATGCGGCTTTGGTCTCGCCTTGGCAGGCGGCGGCTCGTCATCGTCTGCTTGCACCTCCTCTCGGGGCCTTTTGACTGGGCGCGGCTGTGGTCTTGGCTTTACACGCGGCGGCTCGTCCTCGTCCATTTGTTCCAGGGCGCCCGGATATCGTGATGGGCCCGCGGCCGGTGGTGGGCTACGCGTACGGTGACCGGGTCTCGCCTTGACGGGCGGCGCTTCATCCTCGCTCATGGGCTCCGGCGCGCCATGAAATCGTCGCAGCCCTCCCGAGGTCGTATGCGACTGTG